TGGTTTTCCAGTTCCAGATTTATAGGTACTTCTGAAAGCTGGAGGTGTAACACCAGTGTTAATGCATCCTCCAGCATTCAACAGGTACAGCTTATTCTCATGTCAGAAGTGGTGAAGTAGCAAAGATAGTTTGTTGTGTTAGAAAAACTGCACTGAGTGTACATAGTTCAAGAGCACTGAACAGGTTTTCCCCACAGGAAACACATTCTTCATCAAGAAAGTGGTAATGTTGGAAAGGGTACTGTGCTCGAGTTAACCTGGTTACTTCCTGACAGATAGCAGCAGTGTGGGCTGTTGACAACAGTGTTTCTGAAGCTCTATTTAAGTACAAAAACCTATTTTGGAAGAATTTTCTTTATACCTCCTGAACATCATTACTTCTAAAATAATCAAGTTGTTATTTCCATAGTTTAGAACAAGGAACCAACAGAAGTCAGGGCAAGAGACTTGCATGCAACAGTGTGTGTAACTAACATATGATTATGAACAAGTCACTGCCTTTCTGACCTTAATAGCACTGTCTCAGAAGTGGGTACATTTGTCACTCCCATCCATCATGGTGTAATTGTCCAAATTATCATGTTATAAACTTGCCTGTAATCTCTTCTTTCTGCTACAACTCTGAGCTCGCTATAGGTGTAGGACCTTAGTCCTCAGGAGCCAGGCTTTTGGAACAAACAGCATTGGAGGGCTTAGTGCTCTCAAATCCCAAGGATAAATGGAAGTATCCTCAAAGAAGAGTGTTAAGAAAATTAAGTCAATGACATTATCTGCAGAAACTTCCAATTGCTCTGCCTCTGTCACCAGAACTCAGTGCTTACTATGGCTGACTGACTGATATTTAGGCTTTCAGAACTGATAATGGCAAAGTTCGCTCACAAACTGAAGGACGTACAAGCTGCTATACAGTGTGTTAACTGTCTTCAGGGCAGGATGTAACTAGCCTCATGAGTAAGAACACCAGAGCACCATACTTTAGCTTTAGATGATGCATAAATATTCAAAAACTCACCAATTCTTCCCTTCTTGTGAATGTGACCAGGCATGATACCAATTTTACATTCTCCAGGCTAAGGAAAGAGTGGGAGAAGTCAGATGGAACACTCAAACCATCACTAAGAATGGTTCAGCCTTGGAGCAAATCCAGAAGTCACTTACATTGATGACTCCAGGGCAGTTGGGACCCACTAGTCGAGTCTTACTTTGCCGAAGCAGTCTGTGTTTAACCCGAACCATATCCTGCTGGGGAATACCTTCAGTAATGCAAACAACTAAGGGCATTTCTGCATCGATCGCTTCATTGATCGCAGCAGCAGCAAACGGAGGAGGTACATATATAACAGTGGCAGAAGCACCGGTTTGTTCTTTGGCCTACAATGGACATAATAAAAAAGGTACTGAGTATTTAGTGGGGCTGAAGAGAACATGTGATAACTGGTTATTAAAATACATCCATTCACAGGCATAAATTAAGTAAACTGTTATGGATTAATTTACTATAATCCAGGGAAGTGTTAAATCCAGTGAAAATGGGATATACAGTGTGCAACTAAGGAGCTGAGAACGAACCACTGGCTGGATAGGATCTGCCCCTTGAACACCATCATAGAATCACAGACTCATAGAATGGTCTGGGTTGGAAGGGACCTTAAACCTCATCCAGTTCCAACCCCTGCCACAGGCAGGGACACCTTCCACTAGAGCACGCTGCTCCAAGCCTCTGTGTCCAACCTGACCTCGAACACTGCCAGGGATGGGGCAGCCACAGCTTCTCTGGGCACTTTATGCCAGTGCCTCAGCACCCTCACAGGGAAGAACTTCTGCCCAACACCTAATCTAAACCTAGCCTCTTTCAGTATAAAGCCATTTCTCCTTGTCCTACCCCCACATGCCTTGTAAAAAGTCACCCTCTGGATTTCCTGTTGGCTCCTTTAGGTACTGGAAGCTACTCCAAGGTCTCCCTGGAGCCTTCAGTACTCCAGATTGAACAAGCCCAGCTCTCTCAGCCTGTCTTCAGAGCCTTAGGTAACAGTTAGCTAAAAATTCTTCATACACACCAAGATCAGTGAGGAACTAGTTGCATGCATAAAATAAGTGTATCAACCTCACAGTGGAAGCCAAACTCATGGCTGACCACACTGAATGCTCCCGCTTTTACAAGGCTTCTACTTCACTCCATGCACAGTGACATCTATGGCCTAAATGTCTCTTCAGTGTAAGCAGTGACATAAGAAGCCCGTCAGCAGCATTAAACTCTTTGCCCTCCAGTCACTGCTGCAAATTACCTCCTTCACAGAATTAAACACAGGCAGACCGAGATGAGTTTTCCCCCCTTTCCCTGGAGAAATTCCTCCAACTAGATTGGTGCCATAGTCCAACGCCTGCTGGCTGTGAAAGGTGCCCTATGAGAGAGAAAATAAGTAAAGTTAAAAGGCATGTAATAGCAAACAAAATGAACCACAAGCAGTTGTTGTTACCTGTAACTCTGAAGGCACTCAAATTTACAACAAGGGAAGCTTTCACTACATATATACCATCACTTATTTTAAAGAGTGTATCATGTTTTAAATGCATCCAGAATATGCTATGCTTTTTCTTTTAAATCAGAGCACTGTGGTTGCATACTAAAGTGATTTTGCTGTGTGTTCCTAATACACCTGCAGACTTAACAGCCACATTTTATTTCCCATATCAAGCCTGGCAGATGAACACTGTAATGAAATAAAAGAAATTTGCACTCTCATCCATGACTAGCTGAGAGTTGTAGTAAAAGCAGCCTTCTCCCCTTGCAAAGGTGTAAAAGAGGGGATGTAAGAAAACTATTAAGTATCCTGAAATAAAAACAGAAACTTAACTAATAGGCATTGACATTCAAAGGCATTTGTGAAAGAGGCACTTCTAAAATGATAGTTTTTGTAGGTTCCCGCAAAACTCCTTTTACAAAGAAACCCTTTCAGGTGGATACAATAAAAAGGCTGAAGACCAGCAGGAAGAACAAGAAATAAAAGTAATACAATAGAGGTGACTCAAAACCAAGTTTTAAGCTTGTACACAAGTTAAAAAATACCTAGTATGACTGAATATGAGTGTCCATTTGGACCAGAGAAAGGAAACGACACTGCTGAAGGGACCTTCCTGATCATGATTTTCAGCTCCCCATCAACACAGTCAAAGTCAGCATATCATAGAGTCATAGAATGGTTAGGGTTGGAAAGGACCTTTAGATCGTCTAGTTCCAACACCCCTGCCATGGGCACGGACACCTCACACTAAACCATCTCACCCAAGGCTTCCATTTTATGTTATTACATTTTTCAGCCAACTAACTTTCTGAACTGAAAGGGTGACAGAAAAAATCCTTTATATACATACCTGTTTGCCTGTAAAACCCTGACAGATAACCTTTGTATTTTTGTTAACATACAGGTTTTTCCTTGATGCCGTGTAGGAGCAGTGTCGTACACCATTCTGTTGCACTGGAGAGAAAAAAAAATGAGAGTGCAAATCATTAATTCACTGCTCTGTTAGTCAAAACCATCCTATGGAGTAAGTAAATATATATTAATGCTTATATCAAAAGATGAATTGATCCAGAAGCTCATATTCGGAAAAGCAGCTCTTAAAGCTGCATGCAGTGCTTGTCATTAAACACCCGCAGATCACTCTATCAGTGTGATATAACAGTTTGCTAGGCGTCATAGAATGGTTTGGGTTGGAAGGGACTTTAAAGCTCATCCAGCTCCAATCTCTGCCATGGGCAGGGACACCTTCCACTAGAGCAGGTTGCTCCAAGCCCCATCCAGCCTGGCCTTGAACACTGACAGGGATGGGGCTGTCACAGCTTCTCTGGTCAATGTGTGGCCAGGGCCTCAGCACCCTCATAGTGATGAATTTCTTTCCTAATCAGGCCAGGTATTTCTCATATTGAGTACTTAATATCAGAATTCATCACAAAAAACAACAGACAGAAACTTCTTAACCATTATTTTCATTTGCAAATGACCATTCTCTGTCCTCTAAGAAACTCCACACAAAGTGACAACGCAGAACTAAAATCCCTATATCCCAGAGGCTGTTACAACATTGGTACCATGTTACACCTCCCATGAGTGTGGCACAGTCTATACTAGCCAGTGAGAGGATACTGAAGAGGCTGACGATCCCTCAGGCCAGGCGAAACCTAATGCCAAGCAAGACATCCAGCAGGAGACCTTTTTCCAGTGGATGCCTAGCCACAGGAGCCTGGGCATCACTTGGGCTTGTGAGGAAAGAGCTCACCAGAATGCTTCTATACAATGATTTTCAACGTAATTCTTACAGCTCTGATACTGAAACACAAAACATAACAACACAACTACAGAAAAAGAGCACAATGCATGCTGGTATCAGGGAGACAAGGAGAATGACTGCATCTCTGCTGAAGGGAAAGATGTGGACATCAAGTAATTAAAAAAAGTAATGCAGAGAATGTCACCGAAGCTTGAGATAAGGAGGAAAAAGAGGTCTTCTGGTATAAAAAGGATGCACACATTGCTTATATTCATGTCCATATGCTTTTTCAAATACCAGAGTTTTGAGGGGATCAGAACTGATTTACTCCCTGCAAGTGTTTTTGATAAAAACAGTGTTTTGTGCTTAGAGTGAATACAGGAGGGCCCAATCCTAATACAGAAACTGATACCAGAGCACTACTTAATACCTTTTCAGCTCCTTTAGAACACTACCACTTCAGATTTAAGGAAGTAAAAAGTGAAGTTGAAGCAAAAAAGATTCTGAATCCCGCTCCCTGGACTGTTCCACGTACTTACAAAGGAGGGATTTTTTTCTATTTATAAACATTTTGTAATAACATAATTTCAAAGGGGTATTTAAAAAGTGCAGAACATTTAAGATCCATGTATACGCGTTTCTACCACAGCACTCTTCCGCAAGTACTTTTGCCAAGTAAATTTTAATGATACGCTGCTTTTATGCTTTAATTCTATTCCAAAAGAGCTACAGCTACACAAGACAGCACAGTATGGTCTTCGTACTTGGCCAACACCTCAGCCTTTCCAGGCAAGCCTGCAGTGCCCTGAGCTGCAACACCAAGCCATTCAAATGCATAACTGGCAAACAGCAGCCTGCCTCCAGCAGAGGGGACATAAAAGAAGCAGAGAAACATCTGGGCTGCTGGTTAGGAGAGCAGGGCATCAGTTTACCTGATCCCAGCCATCCAGGCAATCTCTCCTGAGCATGAGATGAGACCAAGTGAAACCCAACCTTGAGGAAAGCAGGTGATGATCCCCTTTGTAGAAAGGACATGGAACTGTTGGAATAAGTCCAGAGGAGGCCACGAGGATGATCAGGGGACTGGAACACCTCCTGTATGAAGGCAGGCTGAGAAAGTTGGGGCTGTTCAGCCTGGAGAAGAGAAGGCTGCGTGGAGACCTCATAGCAGCCTTCCAGTATCTGAAGGGGGCCTATAGGGATGATGGGGAGGGACTCTTCATTAGGGACTGTAGTGATAGGACAAGGGGTAACGGGTTAAAACTGAAACAGGGAAGTTTAGATTGGATATAAGGAAGAAATTCTTTCCTGTTAGGGTGGTGAGGCACTGGAATGGATTGGCCAGGGAAGTTGTGAATGCTCCATCCCTGGTAGTTTTCAAGGCCAGGCTGCACAGAGCCTTGGGTGACATGGTTTAGTGTTAGGTGTCCCTGCCCATGGCAGGGGGGTTGGAACTGGATGATCTTAAGGTCCTTTCCAACCCTAACTATTCTATGATTCTATGACAACATGAAACCCAACCCTGAGGAAAGCAGACGATGATCCCCTTTGTAGAGATGGAGATGTGACCAAGTGAAACCCAACCCCAAGGTAAGCAGAGGATGATCACCTTGAGAAGCTGCTACAGCAATGACCTACCAACAGCAATGCTTTGCAGGACACCCAATGGACTTCCAGAAGTGCATGTTTTGAAAGCCCTCTGATGTGCCTGCAAAGGCAAAGAATAGACAGGCAACACTAATTCAAATCTGTATTTTACACGCAGTGTCTGTGCTACACCTTTCTCTTTATCATAAAAGCAACTCTACAGGCCCAGTTCAGCTGTCCATTCCACATCTACTTTCAGATATTTATAACCTTGCACAAATATGTTTCTGAAAGCTCAAGTTTGTCAATTCTCAGTTTTGAAAAGACTATAGAAATACAGTTTTCAAGGATAAAAAGCTCTTGAGCATTTTCCACGCTATCAAAGTACCAAAAAAAAAGGGGGAAAAAAAGGCACTGATGACTAAAAGACAGATTAAATTCTACACAGCTTTGTATGGATTTACTCTTGAAATTTGTATGTACCTCTTATGTTACTGAAGAGTCCTGGTTCAGATAAAATAGGGCTGGTTCAAAAAAGATTGGCTATAGGCTTGAGCTGTTTACGGTCTTGAGAGAGGCAGTTCAGCATGGACACGCATTTATGAAGCAATATATTTAAGATATATACATATGCATATCAACTTGCATTTTCTGGCCTGGATGTGTGAGTTTGGGGGGGGGGGGGTGTGTGTTAAACTGACATGACACAGCTCTGTGTTTCTGCTCATAGCACTTGTCTGAAGCAGAAAGGTTTGCCCAGTTATCAGCACAGCAAGGGCATCCATCAGTCAAGAAGTTCTGCTCTCCGTGGCACAAACAGCAAGTCCTGGGTACAAACAGCTGGCTATTTAAATATTAAGAGGGATACAAGATGAGAAAGAAACAGGTGGGAAATGGAAATGGCATGCCTAAGTTCACAGCAGATAAGAGCCAGAAATAGAACCCAAGTTTCAGTTTCCAGCCAGGACCTTCATTCACCAGCTCATGCCACTTTACAGTGTCCAACACCCGTTCACACAATTGCTTTTCCTAGGCTGAATCTGGGTGCCCAAGTGCAAAAGCATGTTGCTAGAACCAGACAGGAGGAAAAAAAAGGAAAAATACAAAAAAAAAAGAAGGAAAAAAAGTTGTTGTTCTTCAGCCATGAACCAGTAAAAGCCAAACTCACTGCTGATGCTATTTTAATGCACACGTCTAAATTACAGGCCAAGTGACAAAGGTGCAGGCTCCAGATGAAGTCCTAGAGCATAAGGACAAGTCTTACCAACCCCAAATCAGAGAGAAAATGCCTTATTTTGTCATATCAGAGTTCTGACATAACATTGCTGTGTCCAACAAAGGCCTGTTATAGACTTTTAGTAAAGAGTGGATAATCTTTCTCAGGCAATCCTTTCACTTCTGCCCCATCCCTGTTCTACTTTGTGTGCTTTGTGGTATTAAAGGAGTTCTAAGAACAACAAGATGCATTTATCTTGGCTTTCCAGTACTTTAGCTTCTACGTAACTACAAGCAAATGCACTGTGGCAAGAACCTATTTTCATCTATTGTACAGGACAACCAAATAGATATGAAAAGTGCTCAAATACCAAAACCCTGTTGTCCCAAGACAGGCTTGAAAAGGAAGAGCTAAATTTAGCAAAGGGGTATGAGACTGTATATCAAACATTTTCCAGCAAAGAAACCTTGGAAGAAACTAAGAGACAGACAGGCTGATGGTAGTAGCTCTGGTATTTCCAGGGAACAAGGCCTCAGCACAGCCCAGAGCTCTCTGCAATACAGGAGGAAAATGCACCTACATTTGCTTCTAAGAGAAACCCCACAATCTGCAGCTCTGAGAATGGCCTTAACTTGTGCATTACAATTAAATAGCCTGAAAGCCACCCTATTATTTATAATGAAGTCCAAACATGAATTTACATGTTACTACGAAATCTGACCCATCCACAAGCTATTTTAAAGCACTCATTGAATGTAAATACTGTTTACACTGAGCTTTCAGGCAACCCTTGAGCAGCAGGCACTTCCCAAGCACAAATCTCATTTAAAACATACAACCCAAGCTATATTTAACAGAAACACAGAATAGTTCAGCTTGAAAAGGACCTTTAAAGGTCATCTAGTCTAACCTCGACCTTATTTAGGTTGTGCAAGCCACATGACAGTACAGATATTCAAGGCTAAACCTCTTCCTCACTGAAACTACCTGTTATTTTCAGGACTTCTTGCAAGACTTCCTAGAGCTATGGACAGGAACCCAACAAAGTGCCTCCCTCTTACCCACATTTATACCAGCCCACCCCAAAAAGCAAGCAGAGTTTGAAAGCTGAGCTAGCATTTGAGGGTGCTCAATATAAAAGTAAGGGGAAGCAGCAAAGATTCCTTTCTAGGAGGACCTGAGTGAATACCTACGTTGCTACTTTTCAAAGTAACAAGTGAAATTCTTCCTTGATTACTCCCTGAAATAACCAGGGAACTTGCAGATGAAGGGAAATACTTTTCATTTCCGTTACCTATGTCAGGAAAGCAGAAAGCCTTAGAAATCATATAGGCTCCAATACAAATGGGGAAACTGGAGGCTCTGGGGAAAACCAGGGAAGGATTGAGGTCTAAAAAGCTCTACTTAAAATGCCAAGAAGTCTTTTTTCCACACACAGATTTCCCCCCTTCCCTTATTTTCCACCAGTTACAGTCCTTCAGTTTATTTCTGAGAAATCCTGTCAATATTTTGTACATGTTCAAGTTGCATTATTCTGACCATCTCCTTTCTTCTTCCTCCACCTACAAAATCACGGCCTGAAGAGGACAGAACAGAAACAGTTCTGGACAGCTTCTGACATTACAGAAGAGTAGAGACACTTAAAGTCTGGCAAAGACCAAAGTGCTGCAGGAAATGTCAGAGTTTAATGACAAGAAGCTTGATATTAACAAGAACATTCCACAAGGAGTTTCCCACCCTAGTTCTTTATTAGGTTTTAGTTGTCATTATCAAGCCGATATCAACACACACAGAGTTATGTCTGAATAATTCCCTCCCCTCCCCAAACCATTTTACAGAATTCAGCCATAAAGACAGCGGTTACTTTAGGAGAAGCTGATCCTTATTCACAAAGAGGTTTTCATGATACTGAGGGATTGCTCAGAATATTTTACTCTTTGGATTAAGAGGATTATGTGCTCAGAGGATTTCCAGGTATCGCTCCCTGGCCTCTCTCTTCTCATCTTTCTCTTGCCAAATTCCTGTTAATTATGGAAACCCCTATCTATGAGCATGGTAGGAACTGAGGAATTTAATTAATCAGGCTGGAAAGGACAGATGCAATGACTATGCTACACCTACCACATTGAAACAAAACTGGAACTAATAGGAAATGACATTCAGAGAAAAACAGCCCTTTCAACACTCCTCTCTTTCCTAATCAAAAATCCCCACTCCTTGCACCTTTGCTCTGGAGACAAGATGAGAGCTGGACTTGTTCAGCCAGAAGAGAAGGCTCTGAGAAGAACTTACAACAGTCTTCCAGTGCTTAAAGTGGATCAACAAGAAAGCCGGAGAGCAGCTTTTTATAAGCGTGTGTAGTGGCAGCACAAGGGACTTAAACTGCCTTAAACTGACAGAGGGAGGAGTCAGATTAGATATTAGGAAGCAATTTTTTACCATGTGAGGGTGCTGAGGCGCTGGCACAGGGTGCCCAGAGAAGCTGTGGCTGCCCCATCCCTGGCAGTGTTCAAGGCCAGGTTGGAGAGGGTTTGGAACAACCGGCTCCAGTGGAAGGTGTCCCTGCCTGTGGCAGGGGGCTGGAACTGGATGAGCTTTAAGGTTCATTCAAACCATCCTATGATTCTACTGCAATGGTCATCATCGGCTACAGGGTCCATAGAAGACACAATGGCATGTTAAAGAACAGCTTTCTCCCAGATCTCTGAAGCTGGAACAAAGTGAAGCACCTCAGTGAAATTGCAGGTCCTTGAGGAAATTAATATGGTCTTTACAGCACAAATCAACTATTTCTTGTAACCAGCAGACTGTTTTTCCCCATACCTACCCCACTAAGAACATGTGAAGCTAAAGGGCTGCGAGCTTCCCTCTTACTACACTGCTGACATAGAAACAACCAACAAATCCTTCAGGTGGGATTGTTATTTCTGCAGCAATTCTTTGCCAGGGTTATTCACATAATTTACTGTAATCTTTTAATCTGCAAGCTCTCCAAAGATTTCTAACATGCTCAGAACATAAAATCCTTAATCCTGACTCTTCCAATCACAGCTAAAGTGCCCATAAAGACTTTTCAAAGTGTGGTATAGCCCAGCACAGGTCTTGCTTGACTCTGTCCATATACAATCAGTGCTCTGAACTGACCTTTGAGAAAGCACTGACATACTTCATACTATGTTTTCACAACTTCCTGAACTGAACCTTAGGGATACACGTCCTTCATGTTTCCTTCAGAATCAACAAAACCAGATATTGCATCTCTTGCAACAGAATACGCTAGAAACTCATGCTTTTAAATCACCAAGGGAAGCAGATATTAAGTATTTACTACTAAAAACATATCTACAAAGTCCAAATTTAAGGCTTTGTAAAGAGTATCAAACTAACAAAGGTTTCCAATGAAGAACTTGGAAGGGTTCTTGCAGGGTTTCTTTAAGACATGAACTGCTGCAAACAGAACACTTCTTGAACCACTTACACTACTACTTCTCCTTTACACCCCCCAAGTCATTCTAAGCAGTCTTCCCTGAATACTGCTACTTCTAAATGGAACAACATGAGGTTTTAAACACATAAAACTGCACCCAAGAGTAGCTTTGCTGGGAGTACAAATTAAGCTAGACTGTGATGCTACATTCCCATCTGTTCCCCTCCCTCAGAACCCATTCTTAGGGGAGTCAATTCAAAGAGCTGACCTGGCAGAACTTGTACAGTAAGAAAATACAGCTTTCTGCTCATGGAGGACAAGAGGTAGGAATGGACACCTCAGGGGATGATGGTAGGTATGCCACAGGAACAGCTTAGCTTACAGTGCTGTCAGATCACATTAGTAGACCCAGACCTGTAAGTTACCATCACACCTGGACAAAACACAATGTGCGCAGCAAAATGAGGTAGGTTTAAGTTTGCCCAT